AGCCGACGGGGTCGTCGTCCTGTACGACCTCCGCGCGGGGAGCGCCGCGGCCTCTCTGACCGGTGGGTCCGGAGCGAGCGGGCGGGCGGACGGGGAGGGGCCCGGCTGGACAGCCTCGCGGGACCTTCCGGCGGAGCTACTGACTCTCTCTCCACCCCCCACTCCCACCCTTCCTTACTCGCGGCCTTCGCAGAGGAGGAGAATGAGATTCACGCGCTGGACTTCTGCCGCGACGGCAGCGCCTTCGCCACGGCCGGCAAAGACCGGCACATCCGCCTCTACGACAGCCACACCCACCAGGTGAGCCCTCCACGCCCCCCCCTCTCCCCCGGCACCTGCCCTCGCCTCCCGCGGCTCTTCCTCCTCCTCTCCTCCTTCGCCAGCTCGTCCACGTGGTGCGCGCGCCCGACTTCATGGCCGGGGACGAGTTCACGCCCTTCAGCGGCCACTCCCGGCGGATCTTCGCGCTGCGCTTCCACCCCAGCGAGTTGCACCTCTTCCTGACCGGCGGCTGGGACAACTCCGTCAAGGCAAGGGCTGCCCCCCCCCCCCCCCCCCCCCCCCCCCGCCCCCTGCTTTCCCCCTCCCACCCCCCACCCCCCGACGCCCGGGTCAGCGATTGGCTGCCGCCTGTCCTTCTCTGCTAGGTTTGGGACAAGCGCGTGCCCAAAGGGGCGCAGAGCGTGATCAACGGGCCCCACATCTGCGGTCCGGGGATCGACATCAAGGTGAGTCCCGTCTGAGGCGTGTGTGTGTGTGTGTGTGTGTGTGTGTGTGTGTGTGTGTGTGTGGATTCCCACCTCCGCCACAGGAAAGGATGCCATTGCTGCAGGCCAAAGGGAGTGGCCGGGAGCCCCTCTCCGGTATGCTTCCCCCAAGGAAAGCCTGGAGCCGGCCTGGTTACGGAGTGGGCAGCCTCCGAAGCCAGATCCGCTGGGCTGATCAGATATAGGCAGAGAGACAGCAGCGCATCCTCTGAACTTCCCAAAGGGAGACCGGCACCAAGTGCAAACTCATCTCCTCAGGTGATGGAGAGACCCGACAGGGTAGCAGATGGGAGCCCCAACCAGTGGTGGGATTCAAAACTTTTTACTACCAGTTTTGTGGGCATGGCTTGGTGGGCGTGGCTTGGTGGGCGTGGCATGGCTTGGTGGGTGTGACTTGGTGGGCGTGGCAAGAGAAGGATACTGCAAAATCCCCCTTCCCTCCCCACCCCACTAGCCTGCTTTCCAGCTCCGTTCTTCTGTGCAGGGCAACCGAAGAAGGCCCAGCCGATCAACTGGGACTCAATGGGAGGCAGAGAAGAGATGGGGTTGGTGGGGCCAGTCAGAGGTGGGATTGGCCAGTTCCCTGAACTACTCAACATTTCTGCCACCGGTTTTTCAGAATTGGTCAGAACCTGTTGAATACCAGCCTTGATTCCTACCCCACTCCAGGGGAAGGATACTGTAAAATCCCATTCCCTTCTCACCCCAATAACCTGCTTTCCAGCTCTGTTCTCCCATGCAGGGCAACCAAGGAAGACCCAGCCAGTCAGCTGGGACTTGTGAGGCAGAGAAGAGATGGGGTTGGCGGGGCCAGTCAGAGGTGGGATTGGCCGGTTCTCCGAACTACTCAAAATCTCTGCTACCAGCTCTCCAAAACCAGTCAGAACAGAGGTGGTAGTCAGCAGGTTCTGACCAGTTCTGGAGAACTGGTAGCGGAAATTTTAAGTAGTTCGGAGAACCAGCAAATCCCACCTCTGGCTGGAGATTTTACTATCCTTCCCCTGCCACGCCCACCAAGCCAAGTCCACAGAACTGGTAGTAAAAAAAAAAATTGAATCCTACCACTGGATCAGAACCTGCTGAATACCACCTCTGGAGCCTCCCCACCCACTGTGTTTCTTGGGCTTCCAGCTTTGAAGTCATTTGCAAATGACTGCATCAGCTGCAAATGACTTCAAAGCTTCAACTTGTAGGCTATTTGGGTTTAACCCTCCAGCGGTGACCTGGAAACTCCAAGCAGTTAAAAATCTCCTGTCAAAGAGGGAGAGGACAGTGAAGTCACCCACCTGCCTCCTCCCCTCCCCAAATAGGGAGCACACATCCTGACTGCCTCCTGGGTGCCTCACAACGCTCTACAACTTTGGGACCTGCGCATGTCCCGCCTGTGGCAAAACGTGCCTTTTCCTGGCAACCCCACCCAGGGAGAATTCCTCTACTCTGGCCAGTTCTGCACAGAGGACGTAGTGGTGGCCGGGGGCAGCGGTACCAGCGGGGCTGGGATTATCCATACTGGAACAGGCCAGGTAAGGGCTCTTTTTGTGTGTGTGGGGGGGGAGAGGTAGAGTCTCGGGAGCAGCAGCCGGCTCAGGGGTGGCTGCCGATCGCAGCCAGAATTACCCGCCGCAAGCTTTCGTGGTGTTCCCTTTGCTTCTCACAGGTGATCGGGGAAGTCCTGCTGTCCAACAAGCCGGTGCATGCCGTGGCTTCGGCTTCCAAAGGGCAGCCCGTGGCCGTCGCTGGCGCAGGGGGAAACCTCTACCTGGCAGAGCTGCACTGAGCCCCTGACTGGGAGCCAAGCCAGCAGGAGACAGTTCTTGAGAGCGCTGGCATCAGTTGCACGACTGGCGGCTTTGGGGGCTGTTCCGGACTCTCGCCCTGCTCCCACCTTATATGCCCATTTGGCAATCCCTTCTTCTCCCACCCCACCCTCCTGCATATTGTTCTGACCTGCCCTTTGCAGTGTCAGGGGTGCTCCTGTATCTCCCCCAGGGATGGGACTCTCATTTGGGCCTGAGATGGGTGGTGAACGGGGGATGCTGCTTGCCAAGGATGTGTGCAATAAAGTGTCCTAAGGGCCGGCAGGGCCTGTGTCTGAGAAACTGGTGCTGTGTTGCCCCGACTGGGATGCCAGTAGGAAAGGGCGAGGAGGAGGAGGGGGAGGAAGTGGAGGAGGAGGAGGAGAAGGAGAAGGAGGAAGAGGAGAATGAGGAGGGAGAAGAGGAAGGAGGAGGAGGAGGAAGAGGAGGAAGGAGGAAGAAGGGGAAGGAGGAAGAGGGGGGAGGAGGAGGAGGAGGAAGAGGAGGAAGATAAGGAAGAGGAGGAGGAAGAAGAGAAGGAGAAGGAAGAGGGGGAAGGAGGAGGAGGAAGTGGAGGAGGAAGAGGAGAAGGAAGAAGAGGAGGAAAAGGAGGAAGGAGGAGAAGGAGGAAGAGGAGGAAGGAGGAAGAGAAGGAGGAGGAGGAGAATGAGGAGGAAGAGGAAG